GCCAATCCCACTACCCAGCATACAATCCCACACCCAGAGCGAGGTTTCTCACTCCCCCCTTACCTGGATAACAGGCGCTGAAACTAAAGAAGAGCTTCCTCCTCTAGGCTCCTTCTACTAGGGTAGAACCACCTCCTATGGATTCCTCTAGGTCTTCAAAGAGAAGAAGAGGAGAAGAAGAGAGTATAAGAGAAGAGAGAATGAGAATTGAGGGATGGTTTGCAATGGAGAAGTGAAGGCCTATTTATAGCCTCCATAGCACATTAAAAAAATGAAAAATAATGAAAATATCTTAGACAAAACGAAATGGGATGAGTTGGTGTTGACTTTTCGAATTACCTGGTCTTCGAGTGATCCTAACAACGTCTCAACCTCTAAAGTCAGTATTACTTTTATATAGAACTTAAGAATAATTATTCTAGGATATTTTCCGACGTTGTTACAATACTCTTTGTATGGTCCGTCTTATGGCCAAAGATCTACTCTAACCCGCAATGCCTCTCCAAACCCAATCTTATAAATCTACCCAACATTGGACCACTCTTCAAACTAAGGGCGTAACTGAGTCGAATGAAATTCAACTTTTAAAATTTTGAGTTTTGTTTATTAGAAAAATTGATTCATATATTCCTCTTATTTATTTAATTGAGTCTAATTGAAAGTTAATTAAGCTTGATGTATTTTTTAAAAAAATATTTATATTTTCAGTCTTTTAATTTTAAGTAATATTTTTTTTTCTAAAATTTAAACTTTATATTTCTAATCTCTAAAATATTAAAAACTATTATTTTTTCTCTCAAATCTAAAATTTATCATTTTAATCTTTGTAATTTCAAAAATAATTTTTTTAATCCCTATGTATATTTTTTATCCCTCAAATTTAAATCATGTGTTTTTAGTTTTCAAAATATAAAAATTATTATTTTAGTCTTTTGTTCAAATTTCATTAATTGTTATACAAGATCCTTCTACTGCTATCATTATTAGTGAAAATATCATATTGAATCATTTGATACTACAAAATTGTCTCAATCTATGACTACCAATTATGCTGGTCATGAGTGATTAAAATTATTTTTTAAATTACAGAGATTAAAAAGTTAATTTTTTGATTTGAGGGACTAAAATAACAATTTGTATATTTTGGGTATTTAAAACACACGTTTTAAATTCGAGGGACAAAAAAAGTTATATAAAAACTAAAATAATATTGTTTGAAATTATAGGGACTATAAACACAAGATTTAAATTTGGAAGACAAAAAAAATAATTACTCTAAATTTAGAGGATTAAAAATATAATTGTCTTAAAAAATAAGCTTGAGTTTGGCTCGTTTAACTTATTTTTCAACTTAATTATTTTTGTTTTTATGATTTTTTTTTTTGAATTTCTAAATATAGCATTTAATAATTATTTCAATACTAGATATTTATGATAGATAGAAATAAGTTATTTCAAAATATTACATTTTCATAATTTAGTAAATAAAAAAGTATAACTTTGACTATTACAAGAAAGAACATTCAAAATTAATTGAAGTTTTTTTTAAGAGACAATATATATATTTCTTTTTTATTTTGGGAAAGTAAAATTGAATTTATTAAAATATCAAACTTTAACACAAGATGTGTATCAATTTAGTGCAAAGACATATAACAAATCCATAATATTACCAAAAATAAATAAATGTTTTCATAATATATATATATATATATATAT